CTGCTGAGGGGAGCAGCGGGCGGGTCAGGAGACGTCTGCCACACCATGTGGATCTCCTCCCGGGTAGGCGGGGATCGAACTCATGCGGAAGTGGCTTAAGCTTCTTAGTGCAGTGCTTTAACCTGCTGCGCCCCAGGGAGGGCCCCCCAAATGTCTTTATCTCAAGTATTTTCATTATTCTGCTTCTTCCAATCTTTCTGTCTACTTCCTGGGTGTAAACTTTTTGGGCTGGCTGGGTTTTAGATGCTAAAGAGGGAGGGATTGCTGGCTTCATTACTTTATGTGTAGGATTTCAGTATGGTGTTCCCGCTCTTTATCGTTCACATGTCCCAATGATAAACTTACGCATTTCAGCTGAAGAGTAAGAGATACAGGAATCCAGCTGTTCAGATACAGGGAGGGAATCTAAGGAACTGCCTTTGTCTAATTTTCCAACATTTGCCCTTATTTCTAGCCCAACCTCTCACCTACATCTTCTAGTATATCTAGTGGTGTTAAACCTTTGGAAGGTTTTGAGTGACATCCGACTTATTTCATTTAAGCTCAGCACCCCACTTCCCACCTTCTATAAAGGTTTTGCTTATGTAAGGTAAACAATGCCAATCTTCTTCTTTTGGCTCCCCTATTTTTTCTAAGTGATTCTTTTAGGGAACTCCCTTCAACTACAACAATCACTTGTCTTTGAGGAGAGCAAATCACTCTCTTCATTACTAAAAGGAAGGGAGGGTAAAGACTAGACACAAATGTCAGGGACTGCTGGCTCCTTTCCCACCCTCGGAAGACACTGGTGTGAGCAAGAAGAGGAATGGCACTCGGAGCAGGGCTGGTTTTCCTCCTTATTTAACCACGGGTGCCACAGTCTGAAAACACTTATTGGTGGCTCATTTTTGGCCAGTTCTCTTTCAAAACTTGGGGGTACTTAGCATTTCTAGCCTCCAACTTTGTCTTAATTGCCTTAATTGCAATTCTAGGACAAGAGGGAAAGTCGCACTCAAAAACTACATAATGTCTCTTTGTATTGGTGTATCTAAAAGTACTTAACTAAATTTCTCGTCCTTTGACATTTAGGTTCTTTTTCACTTTTTTGAAGTTAGAGTAGTGTCACAATGACCATCATTGTAGTCATTAACCATTATTATTTTCATAGATGAAATTCCTGTGAGTGTATTAGTTGGGTAATATGCATGTTTTTAATGTTTTAATATATCTAGTGGCCATGGAAATCTGGTACCACTTTAAACTCATCTCAGCAGGACACAGGAGGGTCCTTTTCCCACACAGCCAGTCTTGTTCTAGACATTTTCTCTTTTTCCATATCTCTTCCTATATGAATGAAAGAATGGCATATCATCATGTTATTATGTATTTATTATTATTACTTAGAATGAACAATTTTATATATGCTTCTTGCCCAGTAAGCTGTTCCTTCAGTCATGTTGCCTATTCAGGTCCTCTGACAGCTTTTTCCTATTGGGGCTTAAATTTTTATCTACTGGTGTTTTTTATACATTGATAATATTAATCATATGTAGTTCATGTTGCCACTGTTTTTCCTGGTTTGATATATCTATTTGTTAATACTTTCTGTTATACAGAAAATTTAAATCGCTATGTATTCAGATAGTGGAGTTTTAGTTTTCTCTTATGAAAATGGAGTAACAGATAGTACAGGATAAGATGGAGGTACTTAGATAAATTAACTGCTACACAATTGTTACTCAACTTTAGCTTTTGCTATTTCCTATGTGACTGAAGTATTTCAGAATTATCTAAAATTTTACTAGAACTGAAAACACACTCAAAGATGTTTAGACTGTACATGAATCTAGGTAATAAATAGAACACTGTTTTAGTCTAATATAGACAGATAGATTTTAACTTTTCTCTGTGCTTTTCTAATTTTCATCCTTAAAGAGATTTAAGGATTGATGATGTATTCTCTTAAGTAGGGAAATATATAGTGTTAGTAACAAGACATACGTCTGTTCAGATTTTTGTTATTAAGGGATTATGACTACATTCATTTTTGAAAGGATGGCTTTCACAACATCGTTTTAATTTTTTTTAAAGATGTATTTATGCATATAGAACTGGGGTACAAGCCAGAGGTGCAGGGGCAGTGAGAGGATTCACCAGAGACAGAGAGGGAAGCACAACAGGCAGACTGACGAGGTACACTGCTGAGGAGAACAGCAAGCCGGTCAGGAGACGCCACCCATGTGGATCATCTCTGGGACTGGGGATCGAATTCACACGGCTAACTTGCAGTGCTGTGTCCTAACCTATTGCACCACCAAGGAGGGCCACATCGTTATTTATTTTATGTCAATAGAGATGTAGCTACTAGAATTAAAACACACTGGCCATTCCTGCTGTTAAGACAACATGAAGATGAAGTTCTGTCCTCAGTTCTTTAGAACTTACTTTCTGCAGGCAAATATTGATATTAGATGAATAAGTCTGACAAGTCTGTTAAATCATATAAGACTTTATGAAGTTATTTTTAGGTCACTTAACACCAATAAAAATCTTTTATTTTGCACACTAACTTTTGAATTATTATTATTTTTAAAAAAAATTTTTTTAAAGATATATTTATTTATTCATACAGCGCTGGGGTACAGGCCAGAGATGCGGAGGGTGAGAGGATTCACCAGGAACAGAATGGGGAGCAGAACAGGCGGATCGACTAAGTACACTGCTGAGGGGAGCAGCGGGCGGTTCAGCCGGTCAGGAGAGGTCTGCCCCGCCATGTGGATCTCCTCGGGGCAGGCGGGGATCAAACTCATGCGGAAGTGGCTTAAGCTTCTTAGTGCAAGTGCTTCAACCCGCTGCGTCACCAGAGAAGGCCACTTTTGAATTATTTTAATAATATACCAGATTCTTATTAGATAATGTTATAATAAAAATAATTTTACATCTAATTTCAGGGTGACATAGAAGAGTGGTCTGATTAAAATCTTGTGAGCCACATTTTAATAATACAGTATATTAAGAGCACACAGTAAAAAAGGAATTACCACTGAAAAAGTTTGGGTGCAATTGTTTATTTACCAAAAATGTTTGGAGAAATATAACTGTCTTGGTTAGATTTCAGAATTCAGTTACTCTCCACCTTTATCGGGTAACATGCCTATCCTAGAGAGAGATTAAGTTTCTGAAAGTTAACAGACCTCTAGGTGGCTGTCATTACTCTCCTTCCTACAGTCCTTAGACAGTTGCTCGCTTTTCCAAAAGTGTGTCTACACACCACTGCTGCAAGGTGGGGTGATCAAGGTGAACCAACAACAAAGATGCAGGCAAAGCCATCTAACACATACATGTGCTTGCCTTGGGTATCGAGATTTACATTGGCTGGTGTGGTCATTGCTCCTTAAAAAATATTTTCCCGCCCTCCCTGGTGGCGCAGCGGGTTAAAGCACAGCACTAAGAAGCTCAAGCCACTTCCGCATGAGTTCGATTCCCGCCTGCCCCGGAGGTGACCACACGGCGCGGCAGACCTCTCCTGGCCTGCCCGCTGCTCCCCTCAGCAGTGTACTTCGTCGATCTGTCTGTTCTGCTCCCCGTTCTATCTCTGGTGAATCCTCTCACCCTCCGCATCTCTGACCTGTGCCTCAGTTCTGTATGAATAAATAAATAAAATCTTAAAAATAAAATAAAATAAATATTTTCCTCTGTAATTTCTCGTCTTAGTGTCATTGTATTATTTTAATATGGCTCTATTCAAATATCATTATGTAAGTCAAATGGCGGTTTCTCTGTAAAGCTAACCATTGTAAAAGATGTTTTAAAGATTCTTTGAGTTAGAGTGGTTATTACTTGGAATTCTAAACCCTTCATACTGACTGCGTGCTTTTTTGTGTTTTAAAGGCATTTTGTATATAACACTTGAAGAATTAGGTGCTTGTTTATTAAATGCCTGCCACCTGATAATGATCTCAAGGGAGAAATTAGTTTGGTTTAGTTTAAGCTTAATCTAAAGAAAGAGGAATTTACCATATTAATTTTCAATAAGACTTTATTAAGATGGATGTCCAGAATTGAGTTTAATTGCTTCTACACCTAGATAAGAGTGATTTGTGTGTCAGAATTAAGCATATTGGCAGGTCATCCTGGATAAGTTTGCATGTAGAGTGAAAGAAAACTTAACAATTTCACTTGAAGTTTTTTTTTTAATAGCATCTATTTCTTCTGCCAGTTCTTTTATTTTATTGACTGTTAATTTATCAGCCCGCCCCCCTTTTTAAAAAAAAGCGAGAGGAAAAAAGGTCATAGTATTATCACATTTATTTATGTGGGTTCCCTAAACCATATGGTGATTTCTAATTAGAATACAAAGGATTCTTTGATGAAACTAACTCCATAGTAGCTGCAGTGGTGGGCATCACAGGAGAGTTTTCTTTAATTTCCAACAAGGATACTTTTGAGAGAAACTGTGTGGTATATAATTGTCCTTATACTAGAAGTCGGATAAAGTTATTGATGTGCAGATCAAGTTGGTATTTTGAAGTTGGTAATTTAATTTTGGATGTTTGATCCTCTTAGTCAGTGGCTTGACTTGATTTTTTTTTTTTAAAAAGCAGCTTCAATATTTAATTTTACATGTACCCTCTCAGTAGAGATTTCAAAGGATACTTTTCTGGATGCTTGACTGCCTTGTCTATTTGCTCTTGTTTTGCATGCAAGAGAGAGCCAGAAGGCTTTCTTCTCATTGTGTACACATAGTATTAATGGATTTACTCTGCCTGTATCGTCTCATTACTGGAAACAGCCAGAAGCACAGAAGTCTTTCAGTGTATGCAAATAAGGCAATATCATCTACCTGAGAGTTAATATTCTCTGCTTTTAAGTGTATTCTAAATCTAATGTTTGTATTTAGAGCATAACATCCTGTTCTCTCTTTTTTTTTTATGGGCAAAAAGCTAAGCAGGCTCAGGCAGCTGTTTGATGTTGGCTTCAAGTGTTATTAATTTCATATTCTATTATTCTTTTCACTGTAGCACAAGTGAAGCTGATGTGGAGGCTGTCATGGATAAGTTGTTTGATGAGCTGGCTCAGAAACAAAATGATTGTACGTAAGTTAATTTCTCTTGAAAGAGAATACATTTAGAACACAATGCCCAATCTCCACTGACCAATTAATAAGTTCCATTGCTGTATATGGGTTGATGCCACGCTCAAGTGGCAGTCATTGTATCAGCATTTTGTCTAATTTATGTGTTGAATCATGTGCTATTATTCATCAAGCTATGCATTTCCTATCTGTAAGAGATGAATTTTATAGTAATTATCCAGACAAGATTGAGTCTTTGTTCATGTTCCCATAGTAACTAGACCAAGGATTCTAAAAGTGCAAGGCAGAGAGCTGCGGCTGAATAAAGCCTGTGGAACCATTGCCGACTGCACATTTGAAGAGCTGTGTGAGAGAGTAAGTATCCAGACACGTCCAGACTCATTGGCCTTTTCACATGTTAGAATACTTCATATTTTCCGTCTGCCTGTTTCAGATTTTAAAATACTATTCACAGAGTCAGAACTGATTTAAAAGTCTCATTAAGAGAAATACTCATCTGTATGTGCCATGTGCTTTTTTATAGATGTTGGCACAAAATTTACACTTAGGAAGACTCTAAAGCAAAATTAGAAATACAGAGATGAACTGTCAACTATTTCTAGAAGCAAAGCTGAAATCAATGTTAGGAGTCTTTTGTAAAACTCAGATATAAAGAGAATTAAAAAATTGAGTTGAGGTTTTAGTATGCCAGGAAAGGAAGTTGAAGTACTATACCGTGGTACAAGGAAGTGTGACTTCCTTTCCATCCCAGTTGCCCTCATGCCTGGCTGGCTTGGGCCACAGTCAAAGAAAGTGAATTTTTATAATAAATACATAATATTTCATATTGTAATTTTATATTACAGATGATATTGAGCAGAGAAAAGATGTATGTACATACACACTCATATAGTTGAGGAAGATCTTGATTGCAGACTCATTTTGAATTTGAATCCTGTCTTTTATTTATTTACTTTAAAGATTTATTTATTTATGCATAGGCCAGAGGTGTGGGGAGGGGTGAGAGGATTCACCAGAGATAGAAGAGGGAGCAAGACAGGCAAATTGACAGAAACACACTGCTGAGCAGGGGCGGGTCAGGAGAGGTTTGCTGTGCATGTGGGTCACCTCCCTAGTCCCCTGACTTGGGATCAAACTCATGCTGCAGTGGTTGTGGATAACTTTAGAGAGTGTGACTTAATCCCTTGTGCCACCACGGAGGCCCCAATTCTGTCTTTTAAAAGCTGTGCAGTTATCATGGCTAGCCAGTTTATTTATCGACTGCATAGCGTGAGAAAAAAAAAAATCCAAAAATCCAAGTTACACAAAACTTTAAGCATAATTGCTCAATTGTCATGCAATTGATATATTTTTAGCTGGTCTCTGATTTATCTTGACTTTTAGATAATGATAGTATTGTTTTTCAATAAAGGGGAAGAGATCTTTCTTTATACCTCCTAACCGATTTATGAGTGCTTTTCTTACAAGGTAATGACTTAATTACTTCTAACCAGTATAAATTTGTAACTTTTTAGACCAGAGAGATGAATCCAATCTACAATCGTTATTACAGAAATGAAATATTTCAAAACCAGTAAGATTTAGGAGTGAATTCTGATCCTCTGACAAGATGGTAATATTAGTCTCTGTCAGTAAAAGTCTTCACACTCTTACTGAATCAATTCATCCAAGTCCTAATAAATGAGTATCTCCAGGCAAAGTTCTGATAAGGCTCCCATTTAAGTTTTACTTACTTTGCCAGAGAAAATACCTTACATACCTAGGAGATGAAGCTTCTCTTCCATCCACAGAGGGGTTCTTATAAGGAAAGGGGAAGGGCAACCTTGTAGTTATCTCAGGATAGTAAGCAAAGATGGCTTCGCGGAGCACATACTATGTATTTATGCCTTGTATATGTTCATTCTTTCAGGGGATGCACCAGGAAAAGACTGCTAATCAGGGCCAAAATCTTCCTAGTCTACTGTATGGGGGTAGTGGGAGATGAACTGGGTCTTTATCTTGAAAAATGACAATAATTAGTAAATTAGTTATTTTTTATCCTAATTAACAAAATTATGGATAGTAGCAACTATGAACCCAATTCTTAGAATATGTAGTGAACAAATTGTATTTTAATTTTGGCATAACTTTCATGACTGAAATCTTAGGATGGTACGATAGTACATCCTGTACTTTATGATTTGGTTATTCAATTGCACAGAAAATAATTTTTGCAACAATATTTAAAGGATATTATCAGTTTTCTTCCAAAAATTTTTAATTCATGACTATTCCAATTTGTTTAAAAGTTTTTATCGTTATCCTTTTAAAAAAATTCTTCTTTAAGTTGTCTGTATCATCACACTCGGTGGTTTTGGATGGATAGGTTTTCTTTCAATTTACGTTATGTAATATCAGTTTTGTGTCTGAATTATCACTACAATGTTTACAATATCAGAGAAGCACTGAATGAGAAAATACACTGACATGATTGGTTAGGTGCAGTATGCTATTAAGCTGTGAGGAATGTTTGAAGAAGGGTTATATTTTCAAGTGGTCATTTCATTTGTGATTATATTCTTATGATGATTTGACTTTTGTTTTATTTTTCAAGCTTACAAATGTGGCGATTCAGATATTAATATTTACCATGAAGAGGATTCTTGGAATTGTTTAGGTCTTAATTAGTTATAACAACCTTATGAGCTAGGCTCAATAGCTTAAAACCATCCACTAAAGTAAAAAACAAAGCTCCCAAGCCAAGGTGGAGAAACAGGCATCAGGTGTGGATCACCTTTTCTAGTTTTCTGAGACTCTTGAAGCCTGAGATTGACCTAGCTACCACTTCTGACATCATCTTGAAAAAAACCTTTCGCAAGGAGTGGAAGGGTTTGACTGAGTATGATTATTTTTTTGAGCATTATTTTTCCCTTTCTAGGAAAAATAATGTATTTATATACATTATAA